AAGGAGGCTGGGCAGCCCCAAAGGAGTCTTAATTTCCAAAGTGTCCCTTTGGCTGCCTCTGCCTTGGATTCTTCTTAACTGGCTGGCTGTGGCCAAGTCAAACACACACACGCACACCCCCCCTTCTTTCCCCCAAATCGGCTCCCTTTAAATTGTCACTCCCCACAGTGCTGCATTCATGCATCAGTTCTAAATAGTCCCACTGTTCAGCTTTAACGAGAAGTAATACCAATTCCCATGTTTGCTCAGAGAGCACCATATTTCATCAAACCAGAGCCCATGCCGGCTCAGATTACTGACCGAGACAATGTTCTGTAATCCTGGTTTATTCACATGTCACGGGTATTTTAGCAAAACAGAAATGAATGGCCCGCGCCACCCTAGGAAGTAACGGGAGAGCTGGGTTCCCGCCCAGGGGAAGTCCTGCTCTAGCCTGCTACAGTTCTCAGAGAGCTGACTTTGATTTTCTGAGTTTTCCCAACTTTCAGAAAGAGAATACGAGCTAAGGAGGAGTCACAAACTGGGTAGTTATTTCTCTATAAAATGTGAACTCCACGGATGGATTTTGCCAGAACAAAAATAAAATCTGTCATTGATTATAAAGTCCTTTGTGCTTGTTATTTTGCAGATTTATTACACTCGGGCCCGGCGGCCTGGTGAGGCCCTGGGATTCTTGTCTCTAGCGCCCCACAGCTCCTGCCCCAAATGGGAACTGGGACTTGTTCACATTTCTTTTGTCCTGAAGGGCTAAGAGCTTTGAAAATTTAGATGAAGAGCTGTGAATCATCCTCTCTCAGACACTGATAACAACAGCTCTCCTTAGTAGAGATCTAAGACTTTCTAATCAACAAAATATTCCTCCGATTTCCTTGCCTTTTCGGCTCTTTGCACTGTGCATTAATAAGTGTATTTCCTCTGCAAAGCAAGGAACAGCCAGGTGAGACTCTAATCAAACGTCCAGAGTTGGGGAACACTTTTGATGTGTGGCAACTCTTTCAAACACACCATAAAAGGAGTATTAATGGTGACCAATGTAATTCTCTACCATCTCACTTTAAAATCTTACCAATATCCTCACGATGTCTGGCTTTTGTCTCCCTGTTAGAGTTGAAGAAACTGAAGTCCAGAGAAGGCAAGTAAGTTGTTTAAGGTCATACAGCAAGACAGCAGTGAACCTAGTGCTTGACTTCACAAGGTCATATGTACCTTCTCACTTCCAAGAATGGGTTGACATAAGGCCACAAGCCTAGTATAGAGCAGTGGATATGAAACAGAGCTTGGGGATCAGCCTTCCAGGATTCACAGAGGACGAGGGGCTGCCTCAGGGTTACAGAGCTAGTTAGAGCTGTGAATGGGCTCAGCCACGAAGTAACTGGACAATATCGTGAAACAATTGCTTTCGAACATTTCATTTGGTGTTTATTTAGGGAGAGGCCATTTATTTGTTGCTTGTTTTTGTTTTTTTATGGTATTATGGAGTGAGCTCACGACTTCATACATGTTAGGCAAGGACTTCATGTATGCTTACATGCCCGATTCTTTTTTCTAAATGTATGTATATGGTACTGGGGATTGATCCCTGGGGTACTTTACCACTGAGTTGCATCCCCAGCTCTTTTCACATTTTATTTTGAGTCAGGATCTCTTTAAGTTGCACGGGCTGGCCTCAAACTTGCAGTCCTTCTACTTTGGTCGGCCAAGTAGATGAAATTATAGTTATGTGCCGCTGCACTCTGCTTGGAGAGAGCTTCTGATGAAAGACATATCCCATTTGTTTTCTTCTTTACTTAAGTGTAGAACTTTCTAACCAAGGTCCCTCTTCACTTCTTCCTATCTTCAAAGTGTGTGGCAAAGAGGCCTGGATGACTAAGAGAACCCAAACAACATCTCCCCTCTGTGAAGAGAATACTCCTCATCTCAACGATCAGTTTGAGACCTCAGCATCTCTGGTAAATATAGCTAAGATACCCCCAGAAGCAAGATACTTGTGTAGGAGGCTGTCAGAAACCATAGATTGGAGAACTTGTATTCACAGTCTGCCATCTCAACTCTTATTCTGAGCTGCGGCCTGAGCTATTAAAATCAAAATATATTCATTGGCAAGATCCAAATTAGCCTTATTTCCATGCTAGAAACACTGTTCAGCATGAGCTGCAATTACACAGATTGTTTCTTGTCTGAGCTGTACCATTTTGAGGGCTGTGCTGAGAGCCAGCGAGGATGTGACCCAGTGGTAATCTGAATTGCTTCACCAAACACATTTTTATCCCATCATCTCGGCCACATGAAAGGGGGCCACAGTGCTCCAGTGTTCAAAACTTTACAGTCCCGCTGCTCAACAATAAAATGAAGCAAGAAATATTAGCCGTCTTTGGCTGATGCCTTAATTCTTTCTCAACAATGTCAGAGAATCTGTACCCTACAGGTTTTAGTGCCAGCTAAAGCCTGACCCTCAGGCTGGCTTGAATGGAGCCAGAATGAGTTAAGGAGGGCGAGAAGGCTTTAATGGAGGCAGATCCCGAATAGCCCAGCTTGTGCCGGCCTCCTGCGGACTCACCCTCCTTTTCACAGGCCTTGATTGTGTATGGCCCCAGCAGAGACAAAACTACCCCTGAGCAGAGGTTACCCCCAGCTGGTGCAGGTCAGAGGCATTCTGGGGGAGAAGGGGAAAGGGGGGCAGAGGGGAAGTGAGGGACACATGGAGAAGGAAAGAGGTGGGGTGGGGGAGGGGACAGTAAAAGATGAGGTAGATCATTTATAAGAAGAGATTCAAGCCTGCAACTGAGATTTCCTCATCTCACCTCCAGGCAAACCATTTTGGGAAATGGGTTCACAGAAAACATGGGAACTATACTAACAGGAAGTGGAACACAATGTGAACTAATTTTCTTTCTTTTTTTAAGTTTCAATTCCTTTTTTTAATTATTATTAGTTGTTCAAAACATTACAAAGCTCTTGACATATCATATTTCATACATTTGATTCAAGCAGATTATGAACTCCCATTTTTACCCCGTATACATTATTGCAGATTCACATCGGTTACACATCCACTTTTTTACATACTGCCATACTAGTGTCTGTTGTATTCTGCTGCCTTTCCTATCCTCTACTATTCCCCCTCCCCTCCCCTCCCCTCTCCTCCCATCTTCTCTCTCTACTCCATCTACTGTAATTCATTTCTCTCTCTTGTTTTTTTCCCCCTTTCCCCTCACTTCCTCTTATATGTAATTTTGTATAACAAATGCTTCGCTACAGTTTCCAAAAGCTAAAGGACTGAGGTTCAGGGGCTTTCAATAAGATCACCTCTAATTGGACAGTATGAGATTTTTAAAAAATTACCAATGTTTTACCCACTAACAGAAGCTTTTCTCAGCAATTTTTTCAGGGTTCACACATGCTAGGCGAGTGTTTTATCACTGAGCCACAACCCCAGCCCCTCAGCGATTTTTAAATTATTGCATTGTGAGCCCTCCAAGAACTATTTTGACTCACAAAGCTCAAAAGTCACCATGTGAAAGAAACAGTGGTTCACAAGTTTGCAGATAGTCCTTTAAAATGTAGTCCAGATGGTGTCCAGGAGCATTCTGAAAGAATATGGGTTTGAAAAGGATCCTTTCCTTCTCTTGGATTCTTAAATTTTTAGGACCCTGGACCCCCTTTTCAGTCTGGTGAAGCCTATGGAATCCTTCTCCAAAGATGTTTTTAAATGCATAAAATAAAATAAAATGTGCAGGGTTACAAAAGAAAGTAATTATATTAAATGTACTATTTAATGTACTATTGATTAAATGTAGTAGTATTGAAAACAACTTGGCAACATAGTAACATGTCATTTTTTCATTAATTCCTTAAATAGCAGCTGGCATAATAATTACTGTAATTTCAAAGAAATGAGGAGCAAAAATGCACTTTGAGAGATTTGAAACAACTTTCCTGCTATATGAAAATTTCTGTGGCTGGTGCCTATTGGTGAAAAAGTCACAGGTTGGTTGGATTTAGAGTATCAAGAAATACTAAACCCAGAGACAGTGAACATAAAGATCTAATTTTTCCTCATTAAGTTCACAGATTCCTGAATTCTATCCACGGGAAGTAACACTGAGCCAGTTAGAGGAGAAACAAAGTTGAGGACACTCTCCTACAGGGTTAAGATAAGGGGCAGCAACCAGGGACTCAACTAGACCCACCGTTCACTGGGGACCCTTCTTGGGAAAGCCAGGGATTTCTCTTCCCTCCTCTGATCTTTTGGGGGATTATTATTATTATTTTAAAGCAAATTGAAAGCATGTCCTTTTTCACGCAGTCTTGACCAAAGATTAATAAACACTTCTGATGTATTTCTTCAACAACTGAATTCATTGTTGCCAAATAAAGCTTCAGTCAGTTAATCAGCTAACTGAATTTTAATCAGGATCTTGCTGTCATTGCCTTGAGTTGGTAGAGCTTTGGAGTGAGGGCTTCTTTTTCATTCCACAGCCTCCCCAGGAAGGGTCCGTGTTCCCAGCCTGCACTCTTGCATTTTGGACACACACTGGCTCAGAGACAACAACTGGGCGCACACACATCCCTTTTCGGGTCCTCACGGGGGAGCTGTCATCTTGCAACCGCACAACCATGCCATCGCATGCCATTGCAGGGGCAACCCGGCAGGCGGGCCCCCCTCCAAAAGCCTCCCAGCCCCGTTGCAGCCCTGGCCAGGCTGTCGGCGCCAATACACCGGAGCCGGCAGCTAGGTTTGGTCTCGGACTCTCTGCAGGGGAGCGGTGAGCGCGCTCGCCCACACCCACGCCCCCCACAGTCGCGGGCGCACACTCGGGCGCATACCCCAGCGCGCGCACGCCGCACACAAGTGCGCACGCACATCACAGCCTGGCAAGGAAGGGCCCTGTCCGCGGCCGCCTGGAGTGATACTGGACGCTTAGCTAGGTCCCCCGGAGGGCGACGCCTGCCGCCCCGCCCCGCCCCGCCCCGCCCCTCGAACCCGCCAGCCCGGGCGCGCTGTGAGCTGCAAAGTTTCGCAGCCCGAGTCAGCCAAGGCAGCGCGCGGGCTTGGGCTCTGCGGTGTTCCGCGCGGCTTCAGACGACTGCGACGGCTGGCCCGGAACTCGGGCCGTGTGGATGCACCGCGCACACGGCTGCCCGCCTCACGCAGATCTAGCTGTCCACATCCCTGCGCCCTCGGTTCCCCGGACTCCGTGTACACCTTCCTGCCGCGGGATCGGTTCGCAGCCTCCGCTGCGCCCGCGCTCACAGTCCTCCTGGGCTCCTGCTCTTCGCCATCCTCACCCCGCCATGGCTCCTGGCCCCGCCTGGACCAACTTGGGGCCCCAATTGCTGCCTCTGCTTCTGCTGCTCCGGTTTGCGGGCTGCAGCCACACGGCCCCCTCCTGGTCCGCACTGCCCGCTGTAGTCCACGGCCTGCAGGGGGACAAGGACCCCCAGCAGTCCCTGGGAGATGCGACCGCAGCTCTGGGCCCCGGTGCCCAGGACATGGTCGCTGTCCACATGCTCAGGCTTTATGAAAAGTACAGCCTGCGGGGCACGCAGCCGGGAGGAGGCAACACTGTGCGCAGCTTCCGTGCCCGGCTGGGTAAGTACAGGACGTCCCGGGGGGGGGGGGAACCCCTCTCATTATTTCCTTTCCTCACTTGTCCACTCTTCTCACTCCTGCACCCCTACTTTTCCTCTTCCTGCTCTTCATTGACTCATTCATTCGTTCATTCATTTACCGACAATTCACTGAGCACTTTGTGCCAAGAGGCAGCCTCCAGGGGAACACCAAAGGGCATTGCCTAGCACAGAGTTCTTGCTTCTGGGGGCCACCCAAACCTTATAGACACATACTACCGCATACACAAGGCTTGAGGCAAAGGGTGGAAGTTGGCATGGGGAGTATCCATGTCATAAGGGCCAGTTTTGTGGGCACTTGCTGGATGAGGAGGGCAGGGTCCAGTGGACCTAAGGAACCCTGATGGAAATACCAAGCACTGGGTTAGGTAGAAAACTTCCAGCTGGAGAAAGTCAATGGTTTTGGTGGAGAGGAAGCAAAGTGCACTGAGAAGGACCTTGGTGCCAAGGACTGGGGATTTGGGGGCATTATCATGAAGTGTTCAGACTACCAGAAGCTTGGTCAGTAGCAGCATCCCATTCCTTTTCTGTCCTTACCCCACTTTCTGCTTTCTTCATACTTTGGATGGAGTTGGGTAGAGGCCACTGGCAGAAGCCTTCCCTGCCCAGGGTGCTTCTGGGTTGCAGCCTTAGGAGTCTATGGGCAGGGCTGGGGAGAGCCACACTGCTTCTGGAAGCCCTGGGGCAAACAGAGGAGGTGCAGCCTGGGCAGCAAGGGTAATGGGAAGACCCTGGTTGTCATGGTGACTACTCATAGCTGCAGAATGCTGTTCCAGCAAATGTGGGTGGAGGTCTTCTGCAGCCCTGTGGGGGAGGAGGCCATTCATCAGGAGAAACTCTTCAGTCTGTGTGCTTCCCTCCTGAGATGGAGGGGAACATGCCCAGCTAGCTTTGGGGCCAGACACCAGGTCAGATCTATCAGCTACTGCTCAATGCACTCTAATTTTACAAATAAGATGACTCTATGCTGTGTGACTCTATGCAACACCGGTGGCCACAGAACCAGACTTGGGAAGGTTCGCCTCCTGTATTCAAGGACAGGGGAGCCCTTGTCACAAAGAAATGCATCCCCTTATCCACCAGAGAAAACTCCCATGTCACCGTTCTAGGGCTCCAGGCCAATTGGATTGAACTCCATCCTTTCTGATAACTTTAATTCATCACTTGGGGTTCATTTGTGGAGCAACATTATTAAATTAAGCCATTTAAGAATCATCTGGCATCAATGACCCTGGATGAATCAGTAAAGCTATGTAGATTTGATCGTACTCATCTATAAAATGGGCAGGCATGCCAATATTTCCTCTGGGGGATTAAAACCAAGATGAAATGAGATAATATTCATAGGCTCTGAGCCCATCATTTGCCAGATTAAGTATTGGTGCATATTATTCCCCTGAGAGTACAAAGCGTTGTGCTGAGCATTCTGTGCCCATATGGGTATAAGACCTTGCTTACCGATTACCTCAATCAGCAAGACCACTTCTGCAATAAAATGTGAGCGTGCCCATTGTGCCCAATCACCTGATGCAGCTGGGCATGGAGTTGAATGGTTCTGTCCTTCTGCTTTCATGCAATGGAGATAGTACAAGCAGCAGTGGAACATAGGATTTTAACCCCATAAAGGGGCTGAGACAGTACCTCAGATATAGCACTCACATTTTACAAATAAGGAAACTGAGATGGGGAGGCAATACATAGTGGCTGTAGTTGCTAAGTAAGTCCCATCTACCAGGCCATTACCATTCTCACTGCTGCCTACCACCACCACCACCACCCATCTATGTCAGAACTAAGCCCAGAGCCCGGGAGGCATAAAATGGAACGGATGAGTATGAGAAATCGTAATTCTGGCACAGTCCGGAACCTTTTAACAAATCCCTCTTTGAAACCCTGAGGCAAACTTCTGCATAAATCCCAGCCTCACCAGCTACTGGCTATGTGCTGTAGCACATGTTACTTTCCCTTTCTGAGCATTAGTTGCCTTGTGTGTATGGAGAAGAGATGAGGATTTGATGTGATAAGCTAGGTTTTATGCCTGGCATAGAGTGAGGTGTTGGCTTCTCATGCCCTCCATTGAGTCCTCTAAGGTTTTTTATACCCAGCCCTGTGCCAGTCTTCCGATGTGCCTGCTTCCTGATCCAGGCATTCATTTGTGAGGAGGTGTGAGCCTGAGCTTATAACAGTTCCTGGCACATGTGTCAACAATTTATTAGCTCATAACTATTATCACAACAACCTTCCTTCTTTCCCCTCCACTACTCCCTAAAGTGAATTCTGTTCCCTTTTAAGTCTTTATCAATAAGGAGACCATTTGAACCTGACCCCATGGGTTAAGATTAGTCCACCTGCTCCCCTTATTCCCCCTGAATGACCTGTGGTTAAATCTAAGTTTCAACACCTACCACTGGGACACTCAGCTTGTTTCCTTCATCTTCAAAATGAAAGTAATAATACCCATTTGTCAAAACTGCCAAACTTCAAGTTCATTTCAGCTTCCCAAGTTTTCTGTTGCTATAACGAAATACCTAAGGCTAAGTAAGTTACAGTGGGGGGAGGGAGGCTGAAAGTCCAAAGAACATTGTGTAAGGCTACCCCCTAGCTATGTCACAGCATGGCAGATGGCAAAGTAAGAGATCACATGGCAGGACAGGAGGTCAGAGAGTAGGGAGGGGCCAGTGAGACCTTCCCATCAAATCCTCATCTCCTCTCCATACACACAAGGCAACTAATGCTTAGAAAGGGAAAGTAACGTGCTACAGCACATAGCCAGTAGCTGGTGAGGCTGGGATTTATGCAGAAGTTTGCCTCAGGGTTTCAAAGAGGGATTTGTTAAAAGGTTCCGGACTGTGCCAGAATTACGATTTCTCATACTCATCCGTTCCATTTTATGCCTCCCGGGCTCTGGGCTTAGTTCTGACATAGATGGGTGGTGGTGGTGGTGGTAGGCAGCAGTGAGAATGGTAATGGCCTGGTAGATGGGACTTGCTTAGCAACTACAGCCACTATGTATTGCCTCCCCCATCTCAGTTTCCTTATTTGTAAAATGTGAGTGCTATATCTGAGGTACTGTCTCAGCCCCTTTATGGGGTTAAAATCCTATGTTCCACTGCTGCTTGTACTATCTCCATTGCATGAAAGCAGAAGGACAGAACCATTCACCTCCATGCCCAGCTGCAGCAGGTGGTTGGGCACAATGGGCACGCTCATACTTTATTGCAGAAGTGACATTGCTGGCCATGCTTTCTCAACTAAAGTCTTCAAGGATTGAGTTAATTGGTAAGCAAGGTTTTAAACCCATATGGGCACTGAGCCCTATGTGGGTGGGCAGGGAAGAGTAGACTTTGACAGTCTGGTGGGGGGTTAAAGAGGCTTAACAATTTCTCCCTCAGGAACTAACTGAGGTCTCATGAGAACTGTCTTCTTAGGCAACACTCCCAATAATCTTATTCCCCATTACATCCCACTACTCAACAGTACCACACTGGGGATCAAGCTCCCAAAAATGAAACTTGGAATGACAAACCACATCCAAAACATAATTCCAGGTATTTCTTAAGCATTTTATTTGGTGGAAGGTATGGTAACTTCAGAGAACACAAAGATGCCTAAAATATTGGCCCTCATGAGAAAAGCTTATGAGCTGTCAGGACAGGTTGAAGTCAGTAGAGAAACAGGGTTGCAGGAAACTGGAATGTGCAAGGTAGCAGTGAAAGGCTAAAGGAGCTCTGCAAGAGAACCAAGAGCAGCACTGACCTGGTAGGGAGAGGCCAGTGAAGTCTTTTAGAGCAGGGAAGGCCACAACAGAGTGTGATAGGCAGGTGCAGTGTAGCCAGGTATGGAGGTGAAGCAGCCACTGGGTGCTGAGTATTGCAAAGTGTTTGGTTTATAATATGAGAGAGAGAGAGAGAGAGAGAGAGAGAGAGAGAGAGAGAGAGAGAGAGAGAGGGGGGGGGCAGGTAGACAAGTAGATTGCCGCCAGGCCACAGAAAGCCTTAAGTTTGCTTGTATCCAGTGGGGCAGAAAACAATGTGCATGACTGGGGAGACGGAGGGAGAGGAAGGAGAGGGAATAGGAGGAGAGAAGGCTTTTAAATGCATGTTTAATGGAAAAAAATCTAGAAATCATAGAAAATCACCGTTAAAAAAAAAGATAATCACAGATGCAGATTTAACCAGAGTAAATATAATATTTTAATAAAATTTCAGGCATATATATATTCTTGAACTAGATCAAAGGAATACACTTTTGCTGTGTTAGCTGGGTCAGAACCCAGATACCATATATATCATATATACATATATACATATACATGGATATTTATATATGTATACACCCTGTTTTTACCTTAATGGGATCATATTTTCAACATAGAAGTATTCTTGTTTGAAATTACTTTTTATTTTCCATTCCTGATCATCCTGAACTGTTTCACATGCCTGTTGCCCAATTATAGTTTTTCCTGTGAAAATTGCTCTCTCCTATGGGGTTTTGTCTTTTTTCTTATTGATCTGCAAAGGTTCTTTGCATAGTATTAGCCCGTCAGCTCTCATAGATGATTTGCTTTTGAAATATGAGTGTGAGGCCAGGGGTGACAGTTTCTTGATGACCAGTCCTGGGTGAAGGCTATGGCAGAAAGGATGAAGCATCCACAGTCATTATACAAACTGGATACAAAGACAACAGGAACTGGGGGTTGGTTAGAAAGAAGAAGGAAAGAGACAAGCTCCTGCTTAGGGTTGTTGGATAGGTATTGAGGCCTCCTCCTTGGCAGGAGGTCAGGGAGCAAGGACAGGGGCTCTGAGGGTTATGACAGGGGCTCTGAGGGTTATGACAGTCCCTGCAGCCACTTGACCATGTATTCTGAGCATGTCCTGGGTACCAGGCACTGAGATTCAAGCAAGCCCTGCAGAGCCAATTTCACAACTTGAGGAGATGCATACAAACACTCTGCCCAGGTTA